ATGATCAAATTAGGGAATTAGGAACACAAGGTTAGGACCAAACACCATAGCCTAATCATACTTTAGCTAGAATCAATCTTTGAATATGAATTAGACTTGTTACTTGAATCTTTATAACCCAGAAGTGAATTGTTATGGTGATTCGAATGCCCTAGTCTCAAAATCTGTTTTCCAACTCTTAAAACCACTCTTTGTTACACTTGTTTATTTGCTTTCATTCGCAATTTCAGTTTGCTCACTTCCTTTCACAATCACAATCACTCTCACTTTAATTTCTGTTTTAGACTTAACTTCCTAACTTCTTGAATTCGGTAATCTACGTACATAAATAATTTATATATTAATCTGGTCAAGTCTATTAGGTATGGCGTTGCTTCTCTCACTCTCTTTTCCTATTGTTTTTATCATTATTTGGCATGGTTATGTAAAGCATTAGAAATTGAAGGATAAGGTCCTAAACTAAGGACTATTCTTGTGTAAACATTTCTATAACATAAATGGAAGTGCTTTTTGGAGATGCTTAATTAACGCTCTATGCATGGCAGAAACTAGGCAAAGATGGGAAAGTTTGAGGAAGTCGAAAAAGTTCCGCAACCTTTCTCGGTGGTTCAATTCACTATTAGCGGAATACGGTGGTGCCCTGAATGAAGTCACCACTACCTTCGTTGGCAAGAGAGGCTTGGGAAAGCCAGCAACAACAAAATCAAAAGGCACTCAAGCCAATCAGGAATCAATGAGTGTAAATGGAGATGTGTCTGAGAAAGGTAAAACAGGAAGCAGACCAACATTTGAAGTAGACTGTTGTTAATATTATGTTAACTCGCAATTGTACGGGGCAATTAGTAGTATAGCAAGACAAGTACGAGGTCGTACCCACGAAGACTGAGAAGTTAAAACTAGTTATGTACTTAGATTACCAAATTCAAGAAAGTAGGAGGTTATGTCTAAAACAGAATTTAAAACAAGAGTGGTTGTGATTGTTGAACAAAAGAAGCAAAATGAAATTGTAAAAAAAAACAAGTAAACAAATGTAACAAAGAGTGGTTTTAAGAGTTGGAAAACAGATTTTGAGACTAGGGCATTCGAATCACCATAACAATTCAATTCTGGGTTATAAAGATTCAAGTAACAAGTCTAATTCAGATTCAAAGATTGATTCTACCTAAAGTATGATTAGGCCATGGTGTTTGGTCATAACCTTGTGTTCCTAATTCCCTAATTTGATCATCTGTTGTCTAACCTAAAATTAAGCATTAGGAACACATTAAGCATAGAAGAACATTTTAAACAACCAAGCATGTATCTAATCCCTGTTGTCGAATGTCCATACATACTCTTCCATTTCATAGTTCAATTCGAATTAAAGCATGGTGTAAACTCTTAATTCAAACCAAGATAGTTAACAAACAAGTTCTAATGGTGATCAATCATCCAAACAAGCATGTTAACTTATAAGCATAATGAATAAGAACATGAATCATGAAACAAACTTGAAACTCCAAACTTATAAACCCAGAATATTCATGCTAGGTTACATCGAAGCCCTAGTTATGGATTTAGCTACTCATAATGAAAAAGAGACTTGAACAGAAATGAGAAAACATAATGAATACAATAAGAGTAGAAAAACCCTTTTTCTGAAGTTCTGGTGGTGTCCAAGGCTTCTCCAAGTGCTTCTCCACTTCTAATGATTCTCCAAGAGCTTCCCCACTTCTAGAAAGATGTATGAAAGATATGGAGGTGATTTGGGATGAGTTTGAGTGAGTGGTGATGGCTAACGAAGATGAAATTCGTAGGGAAATGGAAGAGAAGAAAGCTGGAGCTGTTTTGGTGATTGTTGGAGTGTTTGGGATTTCGAGAGTGTTTGAGGATGGCTGGAGTGAATTGTGGGGTTGTGAATCCCAGGATTTGTTGTGTCTTCAATGTGGAATGGATGTGGTATTTATAGGGAGAGGCGAGTGACAAATCTGAATTCAATATGGCTAATGCATACAACACTTGCATTACAAAAGATGAATTGGTTGATGCACTTCACTAATAGATCCCACCAGCAGCCCTAGCTCATCTTCATGTCACCATAACCAAGCTTCCAACCAGAAACAATAGCTCATGCCTAGCTCACCATGACCAAGCTTCCAACCAGCTCATCCTCATGTCAGAATGACCAGCAACTTCTTGGGCTTACGAATTGGGCTAGGCTGAATCAAATGAAGACTTTAAGATGTCCATTGTGAAGTTCAGAATGTGTATGATCCAACCACACAAGTATTGGCCCAATCCAAGCTCGGAGGAGGAAGTTAAGGCCGAAACAAATTGCTAACTCAGTTTGCTCGCTGACAAAAATCCATCCTGAGCATGGTTCAGTGTTTGCTAGGTTACGGACTCCAGAGTTATCCAATGGGGCTGCATTTTGGATATGTTATAGTACACACCCATTGGAACAACTTTCATGAAGAATGCGGCCTCATACAAGTTGTGTAGGTTGCTGAAACAAAGCTTGCAATATAGCCTACGGAACTGGACTGGCAGGGGGCTGTAGCCAAAATGAGTTTGTCTTTTAAGCTCTTCATCCATTCATCCAAATTAGGCCCTAACATGCATAGACCTTCCAGAAGCTGAGGTTGGAAAGGTTCGACTGAGATTTGCGCCAGAACCCAGTGGATTTCTTCACATTGGGCACTCAAAAGCAGCTTTGTTGAATCAGTATTTTGCTCAAAGGTATCAGGGTCAGCTTATTGTGAGATTTGATGATACAAATCCTGCTAAAGAAAGCAATGAGTTCGTGGACAATCTTCTCAAGGATATTGAGACTTTGGGTATCAAGTATGAAACGGTTACCTATACTTCAGATTACTTCCCTCAGTTGATGGAAATGGCTGAGAATTTGATTCGCCAGGGTAAGGCATATGTTGATGACACACCACGTGAGGGGATGCAGAAGGAAAGGATGGATGGCATTGAATCCAAATGTAGAAACAACAGTGTAGAGGAGAATCTAAAACTATGGAAGGAAATGATTGCTGGTTCTGATAGGGGTCTGCAGTGCTGTGTCCGTGGGAAGCTGGATATGCAGGATCCAAACAAATCTCTTCGTGATCCAGTTTATTATCGTTGCAATCCAATGCCACATCATAGGATCGGATCCAAGTACACGATATACCCGACTTATGATTTTGCTTGCCCATTTGTTGATTCCATAGAAGGTATTACTCATGCACTCCGATCTAGTGAGTATCACGACCGCAATGCTCAGTACCATCGAGTTCAAGAGGATATGGGACTGCGAAAAGTGCACATCTATGAATTCAGTAGGTTGAACATGGTTTATACAGTTCTCAGCAAGCGCAAGCTTTTGTGGTTCGTTCAAAATAAGAAGGTTAATGGATGGGATGATCCTCGTTTTCCAACTGTTCAAGGAATTGTGCGCAGAGGTCTTAAAGTTGAAGCTTTAATACAATTCATTCTTGAGCAGGTAAGACAGTATTCTGTTGTACATGCACAAAAGCAGTTATGATCTATGCCTATAACATATAATGCCTTCCCGCTGCTTATTATGTCCTTACACCAATTGTTTTTCCTTGGTACTACTAGTTGATTTGTATGCGATGTCCGCTATTTTGAATGTTTTAATTTCATAATTGACTTTTATACTCTTTATGTTTTAGGGAGCTTCAAAGAATCTGAATCTCATGGAATGGGACAAACTTTGGACAATTAATAAGAAGATAATTGATCCAGTATGCCCAAGACACACCGCCGTTATTGAAGAGCGGCGGGTGTTGTTGACGCTGACCAATGGGCCTGAGAAGCCATTCGTTCGCATCATTCCGAGGCACAAGAAGTACGAAGGTGCTGGGGCGAAGGCAACTACATACACAAGGACAATATGGCTAGACTTTGTTGATGCAGAGTCCATCAAGGTAGACGAGGAAGTGACCTTGATGGACTGGGGGAATGCCATTGTCAAAGGGATTGAGAAAGACAAAGATGGAAACCTCAAACTCATAGGGGTTTTGAATCTTGAGGGGTCCTTCAAGACGACGAAATTGAAGCTTACATGGCTACCTCAAATAGATGAACTACCTAAGCTCTCACTGATCGAGTTCAATTATTTGATAACAAAGAAGAAGGTATGTCCCGCAGGTGTTAAATTATCACACCTTAGCATAGCATATTACTTATTAATACTATTTAATACATTGAACTTAAATTTATTGAAAAGTGATTGCTATGTGATTATTTAACTTATGATTGCAGCTTGAAGGAGAGGATTTCCTTGATGTGCTTAACGCATGTACAGAAAAGCAGACTGCGGCCTTGGGTGATTGCAACATGCGAAATCTCAAGCAAGGAGATATATTGCAGCTTGAGAGGAAAGGATATTTCAGATGTGATGTTCCCTACATCAGGCCTTCAAAGCCTATAGTTCTCTTTGCAATCCCCGACGGCAGGCAGCATACTGGGTTTAATTGATAAGGAAGAGTTCATAGAAATTCAACTCATGGAAGGAGAGGATTTGACTACCGAGCAGAAAAGCTACGAGGTACCTCATCGTATAATTGACCATTCACAAATAAGTGAATTACTTTCATTAATTACTTCATATAATTGGGTACTCTTCATGCTGGCTTCTAATCAGGGCCGGCCCTGACATTTTGGTGGCCCATGGCCAAAAATTAAACGAGGCCCTTAGTATATAATTTTTTTAAAAAAATTTGCTCATTCCTTTTTCTTTTTATGAATATGAAGCAAAATCCCACTGCTTAAATAGAATAATTTCATTCAACCAACAAAAAAAAAAACCAAAAGTATATGATCCATAAACAACAAAAATCATATTTAGGGGCATAGAGCTTCTAAAATTTCAGCAAAACAAAACAAAAGTTTTTAAGTGGCTCTTCCATAGGGCTTAGTTCTCAAGTGGCTCAATTGTACACAAAAAGTTATTTGTTCTTCCTTTTCTATCAGGGCATCAACCTCTTCATTTTCTATCATATCTTCTTCCAGATTCATGTTTCCTAACCATTTTTGTTACTGCAACTCTGAAATCTAGAAAGTGACAGACAACAAATGAACAAAATAAACACACACCACACCAAACACAACCAGCAAAGCAACGAAACACAACCAAACCAACCAACCAGCAAATGAAAAAAAACTAAATTTAAGCAATAAAAAATAATAATACAACCTGGTTTATGCTTAAGTTGTTTTAAACCTCTTCAATCTTGCAGAGCCTTCATTTCAATTGATCTATATTGCACATCTGAAAAATATAAAAACATACAATTCAATATCTAACAAAATAAATAAGGGAGCAGAGCAGAGCAGAGATGACATACTTACACTGAAACTGCATTTCAGGTGTCTAAATTTCTTCGATTGGGCTAATTTTTTGACATGTTATAGTAGAGATGAAGAGGAACAAGTTTGATAGAGGGAGAATTTCGATTTGAGCTTAGGAAGTTGATGCTTTGGATCTGTGAACAGGGCTGACGGACGGATTTGATAGCTGAGATGAGAGGTGTTTGGGAGAGAATTATTTGAGAAATCTTGAGTTTTAAAAGAAGCCGTTGGGCAGAAAAAAGAACAAAAGATAAAAGAAGGCATGCGTGGGATGGGAGACAGATGAGGATGAACAAAAGATAAAAATAATGCACAAAAGGGGAGACAGATGAGGATGAGGATGGCGTGGGAAACAGATGAGGATGGAGTGGGAGACAGATGAGGATTGTTTATTCAATGGTCTCTCTTTTGGCTCAATTTGTTTTCTTTATGTTTTTTTTTTAAATTTTTAATTAATATAACACTTTATTACTACCTAATATACATGATTATACAACGTAAACAACTATAGAAATAAATTTTCAAACATATATCAAATTCTGAAAGTACTTTCTATCAATCATTCATATCTATAGAAATAAATTTCCACAAGAAATGTTTCACAAACCACATTTAGCCGATTATACAACGTAAACAACTGATTTTTGAGTTAAAAGTTCATTAATTTTTCTCATTAGTGTTTCTTAGTGTCTGTGAAATAAGTTGTCCTCCTTTGGTTTTCCGCAGACCAATATAAGTTGTTACAATTAAAAACACATGATTATAATGGCATGTTTGGAAATGACGAATATTGTCCATAATTCACCAAGGAAATAGGACAGTCCATGTGGTCTTAAATAATTATGAATATCAATACAAGTCAGTAGTTAATTGCCAAGTTGACCCTCCAACACTCAATAGAATGGATTAGTTGACCCTTCAGGAGGAACACAAAAAGAGTCAAAACAAAACATATTCAGCAGAAAAGAAATCAGTCCCTGTAATTGAAAAATGAGTTGATCATTTTGAGTGCTTCTGGGTAAGATATGAAAAGGGATATAACATTTAAGGGCATGAAAACCTGCAAAGTTTCAACAATCTATGTGTCTGAACTTGCATGAATCTGCATTTTTTAGGGATGAACCATGCATTTAATCCTAAATTTATATATAAGCAATTTTGGCACTGTTTGCTACATATGGTTTAATGATTCATCACTGTTGGATTAAGTTCATGTCCCTTTTTGATATTTTCTTCTTTTGGTGCTTTTTGTTCCAATTCCAACTTTTCTTTTGGTATATGATCTTTAATCCTGGTTTTCCCTTCCTTTGATTGTTCACCCTTTCTAGTTTCCTGCAAAAAATAAAAAATAACATAAAAAAAGTGTAAAACACTGAGCAAATTCATTAAATGAATCTTGCTTGATACTTGTGTATGCGTAAGAAGATATTGACAAAATGGATCAGGGCTTACTCTGAAGTTAGAAATAGCGGTTACAGTCTGCTGCTGCACCTGTTGCCCTTGCCACTGTTTGGATGAGCCTGCTAGATTAGTGTCATGGTGGATGCCAACAGATTCATTTATGAGTGCTGCATATAACCCTGTTTTTACTAGTTGTTAAATGTTGTGGGATGGGAATATGAGCTTTGCTTTTTGAGAAGGGAATGTGTAGGATATTGCATATGTGGTTTCTATGTAAGTTATTTAGTAATAATATCTTTCAGAATCAGAAATCTAGTGCTAATGTCTTTCATAATTCATTGCTTCAATTGGCCACTCATTGGTGTAATTGTAATGTGGCAACTGTTTGTTTTGGTACTTTATTGCTTCAGCTGGGCACTTCATATTTGTCTATGACGTTATGGTAGATTGGGTCATTGAAAGTTTCTTGTTTTTTGGTTAATTCATCAATATCTTATATTTTGGTAATCAATGAAATTTTTTGGCAGATTGGAGCAACCAGTCAGCTAATTGGAGATCATGGCTTTTGAGGAGAACTAGGAAATTAGTTTACTTTCTACTTGTTACTATTAGGTCCAAACATTAGTGTTTTGTAAAGAGAAATGTATTTTACTTATGGAGCCTTATGTTTTTACATTAATGTATTTCACTTGATATTATAAAATGAAATTTTCATACATATTTACATTGGATATTTTTTGTAATGATTTAGTAACAATTAGAACTTTGTGCAAGTTAGGGAAGAGATTCCAACCAAAAAAAAAGTAAGGGAAGAGATGTATGGCATTGTTACAGTGCTATGAGTGGTGGTGCTTTTAGCTCATTGCTATTAAAAAGTAATCAGATGGCATTGTGTTGTAGTGGGTTTGTTTGGTCTACTTCCTATGAGCTGTAAAATATAATTTTGAATTATAAAAAAAAAGTATTTCGCAAACTCAATTAGACAAAATTGAAAAAAAACCCAACTTCTTCTAATGTAGGTGCATTTAAGAGGAGCAACATTTCTCAAACTCAAATATAATGTTCTTCAACTTACTCTCACATAGTTGAGTTTGAAAAGTTCTTTGAATTATTTTTAATTCAAAATTATATTTCACAGCTTCAAAGAGGAAGAAAATGTCACAAGAAGTTTGTAGCATTTTTCGGTTTATTTTTAAGATTCTCTATGAATTTTGGGTGCGCAGGATGTTCTTCTCAACCATCTGATTTTCCAACTCTATTTCCCTATTGGCATGGATGCCAAATACTTGAGCTAGAAACTCACAGGCATACCTGAGAGGGAAAGGAAACAAATCTTGGCAGTTGTATATATTATGACATAGTACCAAACCCCAATGTCTCTTTCTTTTTTCGAGGTTGAACAGAATCAGGACTATATGTGGGGCTCTTGGGGTTGAACTTGAACCGCACAATGTGAGATCAAATGGAAATTTCTCATCTTGAAGCACCTTCACCTGTTTCGCACAACAACGGTCAACAATCATTCGGACCTTATTCTTCATAAATAGGAACCGTGAAGCCTGAGGTATGTCAGTGGATGGATAATGCAAACCCAGATATGGCTCCAGGCCAGGCTTGGTAATTTCAGAGACCACTTCTCCATGATCATCATCATCATCATGAAATTTAAAGGCCATCATCACCCTGTCATAACCGGTGAGTTCAAAAACCTCTTGGACCATTGTATCACAAAGCCTCTCCATGCTCCCACTAGGCAAAGACTGCAATCGGGCAATAGCTTTAGCTGCAAACTTGTATGACTGCAGGGCCCCAGCAGCAGTGCAGTCATAGGGCCCCACGCGAAGTCAATGATCAAACTGCCCGTTAATCGATGGGTTATTGCATAAAAAGGCTTGCCAGTGGTCTTGCAAAGTTGCAATTGATATAAGATGGGATTCATTTAGGAGAGAACCTCCCCAAATCCGAGGGCCTTATGCAATGCAGAGGCACTAGGGGCAATGAAAATTGTTCTTACATTACATCTGTTCCTATGCCAAGAACAGGGGTAGTCCCCAACGCTTGGAAAAAAAAGTCAAAAGTGATGAGAGCTCGGTTCAGCAAATTTGACGAACAAGGTGTAGGCCACAACACAACACAACCCAACATATAAACTGGATCGCTTGCTAAAGGCTGCCATTCTATTTCTTAAACATTGACGCTGTATTTGTACCTACAAAATTAAGGCACATTGTGGTCTAATTGTAACCAGAAAAGCTAATACTAATTTTAGGTAACAAATTGTTCCTCATCTCAGTTTTATTTTTGTGTGGGTGGAATCGAAAGCTCCTTTCTTGATTTTAAAGAAGCACCCATTTTCACATACTAGTTATAGCTACCATTTTGCATGACCAGTCTGCTTAATTTTGAGACCAGGCGGGCGTTTCGAGGTTGTAGGGGTCAGTTGAACACTCTTGCTCCTTTGTGTATCCGTCTGCCATTGATCGCAAGGTAAGACCATTTAAAGAACAAGACTGAGACATGCATATTTACAAAAAGCAATACAAAAGTTTCCAAAGAAAGTTAATTGAAATTACAAGGCATATCGAAGATGCAACCCTCAACTCTCATTCCTTGTATTGGCTGTACACTTGAGAATCTGTGTTGTTTCCCGTCCAAAATTGTCTTGATTAGGACCTTAACTTGTGTGCAGCAGCAAGTTCCATGGATATCATGAAGGTTGCCTTCCCTGCTTCCCTAAGATACCTTACGTCTCCGTTCCTGAGCTTCAGCGGTTTACTCCTCACGAGCAGGCCAATGCTCTCTTCGGATATGCCTACGTCGTTTCCAAACATTCAGCAATCCTTCTAGAATCCCACCACCCGCACGTGTTATCATGATCCAGAAATATTAATTCTTCAATATCTCATGATAATTGCTTAACTTGTAATACAAGCAACCCACTTATACATGAAATCAATAGTAGAGACTAGAGAGAACCGTTTGTTTTTACAAGATACATGCTAACACATCAATGTTTTGAATCAACTAAGCTGTACCTGAGCTCCAAATGCACAAGATGAACGGATTGTCTTGATTCATCTTTGGTCAAATTGGCTGCAATAGTAAGCTGCCCTCCGGTTGGCATAACATTAATTGATACGGCTAAGAAATCAGCTAACACTTGTTGAAGCCTAAGACTATATCACCATATAAGGTCCCATTCATGATCTCTTCTGCTGCGTCATGGACAATCCGGATACTCCTGGCATTGCTCTTAATCATGACTTGACTGAGGCAAGCAGTACTTCATGCAAAGTGAACTCAACCATTTCCATGTCCAAATAGCTGTCAAGGGATCACAAAATAGAGAATTGTTAAGACCACAGTTAGAATGAACAAATAAACACAGAACTATTCCCCTCTCTTTTGCACTCTTTATACCCTTTATTCTGTACGATTAGGGTTCATGATCATTTCATGGAGGCAGGTGGGTGTACAACAAGGGATCTCTATTTTCAGCAAAGAAGGAGAATGCTTTGATGATATGATTCAGGAGTCTTCGGCCGAAGCATTAGGTATGATTGAGAATGATGATTTCAATCATACTTCTATGAGTCATATCAGCTTAAAGTTCACATTAGGGGCTTGACATGTTTTCCATGCTCTAATGATGCGATAGAGAAAACATTGTTTTAAAAAGGACCGTATTACATTGTAATTCTAACTGAATAGGTTCTCCACATCAATGCTTAAAGTTCAATTACGGAAGAGTTCGAATTGCCCACTGCCTCACCGATTAGAACCTAACAAATCGCACATCCATAAAAGTAAGAGATGGAAAATTAATTAGGAGATGATGAACAACGATTATTTAGTTAATAAAAATTAATTAATTAATCAATGCTCGGGACTTGTATTGGGGCTAAAATTAGTTTTAGAAGTTCAAGGCCCATTGGACTAGGACCCATTGGGCTTATAAGATGAGTTCTACATGACAACTTAAAAGATAAAGCCCAAAAGGCTCAATAAGGA